CATCGTTGAATAGTCCAAATTTTAACATGCATGTATGTAATATAGTTTTAACTGCATCAGAAAAAAGTCCTCTTTCACTCTTTTTCAGAGAGATTCCCATTGTTTTAAAAACAAAAGTCATCATTAACAGTCTCTTATGGTAACACATGATCAAGAATTTACATGCATTACCTGTTAGCAATAGGACTCGGACCTGAGGACACCTGTGGGTAAAAATAAAGTGATTAAAATGATATCAACTTTTAAGCTCACAGGTTGGGAGTAAGTAGTGCCTCAGATAATACAACTTGGTGGTTGGAGTATCATCACATCTTCTCAAGAGTAGCAAATAAGTGTCATCACAGGAGCACAAATTTATGGCAAAGACTGATGCTTCCCTGAGGTGTTAGCAGAGAGAAAACTACACGTGTAGATCGGGACTCCAGGAACAGCGTTACAAGTCAGTGTTTTGGCCCAATATTGAACATTTTCATTTAAAATAGATTTCCTGTTCATTTGTTGTACATGTTGTACAAATCACACTTTGCCAGTCAAATGAAAACAGTAATATCCAGATTAGTTTTACATGCAAATATTAGTTTATCCATGCAAAGGCACGTGGATAAAAACACTTAGGCTTGAAATATTTGTAAATATGGCCCCGCACCCAAGCAATTAAAAAGGTATCATCTTCAATTTCAGCCATAGGAATTTTATCATTATAGTTTGATTTAAGAGAAGGTGTAGTCTCTCCACAGCAAACACCTTAGAGAAGCACAAGTTTCCTCTGCAAACACTCATCCTCACCTCCTCAGTCCCCTACAGACAAGTCACATCTCTGGGCTTTCACGGCACCTGTAGAAACAGTCTTGTTAGGACTATTACAATGAAAGCAAGAAACTCAAAAGAAAAACTATATATGGAAGTCTCAGTGTAGAAAATGCTCAGAAATCACTTCTGTCCACTACTCTTACACTTTAAATCATCACCGACGTCCATTTAGGGGAAAAAAATAAATAAAAGTTCAGGGTCTAAAGAAGAACTCCTTACCATCGAGCATCTGCTGATTTCGAGAAGTCAGGATAAGCATCGTGATCCTTCATCTTTGAAGGTCCGTCTGTATTTTTGGGTGTTTTAAGTTGTTAATCTGTCAGATTTAACCCAAACACAACAGGGAGGTTAAACATATTTTTAATTAAAATTCTCATAACTTCACACAGTTTTATACACCCACTAAACACGCTGCATGACCAGCAGCAGGAGCCGTGCAGCTAAGCTAACCGGCCCAGTTTCTCACAGCCTTTGCCCCGTCTTGTCAGGAATGTTGCCTTTACTTCACATCGACTCAGATGTCCCTAGCAACATTATGTCATCATATGTAAGCGGGACTAAACTGCACTGAGGCTGCTTTTAAAACAGGATCTAATGATCCGCAGGCCAACACGCGACCTGTTGCACGTGGATGAGGCCTGCTAGGCTAACGCTTATTAGCTCTAAAGAGCTTCGACTTAAAAATGCCACAGAGTATAACGTTACCTACATGATAGGTCAACAGTTATTACTGCGGGCGTAAAATAAAGTCAAAAACCACGAGACAAACACTAAAGCTGAAAAACGCCAACTAACTCACCTGCAAGTCGTCCGAGGAATGAGGCAGAGAAGCGGGCGAGAGGCGCTTTTATAGAAGCTACCGCACAGCCTGATGGGAAAAATATGTCTGGCTGAGCAGCGCCCCTGCTGGACGAGTCGGTCTGCGAACACGCAACGTGTGCGACATGTTTTTGTGTTTTAAC